GTCGTTTTCATAAATGCACTAAATTCAATTTAAAAACAAAAAACCTCGACATTTTTTATTGCCGGCAAAAGACAGAAAATGTATATAAATACACATGCTACCTTGGAAAACCTTAAACTCAATTACCTTTATGCAACTCTTTATTGCAGACTTGGTCGACTTTTGGTCGTATATGCACAACAATATACAAATACATATGTGTACGTACAATATATACATAATAATAATAATTTTACAACTGCAAATGTTATGTAAAGTAGGCCCACACTTGACGAACCAGGCAAGAGCCAAGCGGCGTTACAGTCAACAAATGCCATTGTCTGCAGTGCCAACCACTTCGAGTTGACTTAACTGCCATGCACTTGTCCGTATGTGATTTCTTTAAGGTCAACCAGAGGCGAGCCTCCCAGTTTGACTTTTTTCCAAACATTTAATCATAATAAATACGAAGTTAAGTCATAACTGCGAAACCCAAGATAGAGAGTATCTTGCTGGTAGCGTTGTATGGAGGAAGTGATACTGCAGCGTTAAACTAAAGTGACTAAAGCATGTTAATTACCACAGTACAACCTTCGGAAGTGCTTTTAACCGCGTATCAGCAACGTGAAACGACGCTTACTTTTTTAGAATCTTTTAGTGCGTTCCAGTTTGCTTAAGTAAAAAGCCAGCCACTTACGAGGTTCACAAGTGTACATAAAAACGTATTGACATAAAGATATGTATACAATACATATAAAAATAAGTATAATATCACTGAGACAAGATATGTTTTCTGCACATACCTTCAGAGAATAAGTATAAGTGTGTACTCTCAGCAAGTATTAATTTGCATAGTTAAGTCCAGGGTTAAGATGATTACTGGAATGGGCAACGCAAGGAACGCAAGGAACGTTAATGTATGTACCTTAACGAACTATGGAAAAGAATATTTAAACGCATCCATGCAATAAAATGTGGGCAGAGAATAAAAATTATACAAAATTCTCGTCTTCAATGCATTACAACGGAAAGTGTTTTTATATGGCCCAATTGAATTACAATGTTTCTGAAGAGTGCTCTTTACCTTAGCTTTGTCAAGACTTTTGTAGTGCTGGAAACATCGTTGACCTTATAAAGTGTATATATCCCTAACCAACTTATTCAGTTGAATTTAGTTAGGTTGTTCTTTTGTCTACCAGTCTATTTCAGTTCCTTTAGAATACACATCAGTCCGTCTGTCTATTTCAGTTAACTCGTATGTAAGTTTATTCTACAATATCAAGCATAGAGCATCAGTTAAAAATTTAAATAGTGTTGTTTCATGGTAAGTGACGATGTGATTTCATCTCGTACCAAATTTGGAGTCGATTGTATTGTATGCCTATTGCCACTCCAATCACTCCCGCGTAAAAAAGGTTATAATACTCCCGAGCTATGACATGCCTGTCATAAAAGGGGACTAAAATCCAGTTGCACCACCCGATACTATTGGAAAAATAAATAGTAATAAGTAAGTTTCACTTGCGACACCCGATCGAAGCTATGAATCTAGTACTACTGCTACTGCTTCGGATGTCTTGACTAATTGAGGTTATCCCCAAAGTTAAAACCCAAAATCACGCTGATAGAACGGCTGTATTCATAATTTTCATTCAGTGTGGAGTTTTATTCACCAATTAGTGCTGTGCTCCAAAGAAAAGCAAACGTATTAGATGGGTCTCATTTCTTCCGAAGAAGAAAACTACATCCAAACGTATAGCTTAAATTGTTACCGGCGGATTTCCTTGGAATTTTTATGTTATGCGCTTCGAATCGATAGTGGTAATTATCCTTCATTAAACTGATACGTGTGTTGAAACCATCGTAGTGTCGAGCCTTGATGACAGGTAAACATGTTAATAAGAACTATGCCAAAAACTTTATTTTTTAGTTCAGTGAATTTCTTGAACTTACCATGCAAGTATCTTTGAAAATATATATTGAATTATTTATTCATATATATTTATTGGAGTACATATATCAGGAACTGAATTATGTCAAATTTGAACCGTACTTGTATCGAATAAATAAAGTGGACGTAGGTACACATATATTGCGTTATTAAAATTAAAAGTTTTACTATTTCTTATTGATTATAGGGGAATAATTGTACTTGCTTTGCTATTTTTAGAAGGAGCCTTCCTATACAAAATAGATTTCTTATCAACATAGATAATAAAAATTTATGGATACTTATAAGAATTATAATTTTACGCAATTGGAAATTATTTTATATAAATGTGATCGCTAAGATATTGTTAGCAAATATTATTTATTTGTCGCATTTTACAGAAGTCACTAATAAAAAACTGATCAAATGTGATCAACCAACCAACATACCTACTAGCATGGTTCAATTTTTTTTTGTTCCGGAAACTTATATGATCGTTTTATGTTATGCGCTTCGAATCGATTGTGGTCAAAAAAAAAATTCGATTGAAAAGTTTAATGAAGTGTTTTAATCAGCCTACGAAAAATGTGTGGAAGATTAAGTGAAGTAGTGAGACCTACTTTAATTTGTAATAATCTTTAATTAATTAAATATTGACTATTAATGTATAATTTTTTATATATTTTACTTTAAAATTTCTTATATTTTGCATATAAAGTATTCTATACAAATATTCAAACTTAAGACGACGAACTTCGATGGTAGTGATTGGACACTGTCAAATATTATATAGTATCGATTTTGTCTAAAAATGTTTGCAATTTTAACATTACTTAACATTATCAGAATTAAAAAAAAATTAAATAATACGAACCGTTTGGAATATAGCGACTGTTGTTATATCATGCGTTGAGCATAAACCACACGCAAAAACTCTATATATATTTATAAGCACCTCTCCCCTCAATAAGCATTCACGGCTCAGAGCAAAAGTCACACACTTTAGGGTTATAAGTAGTAAATTTCAAAATTAGCACCACAAAACCACTTCCATTGTTTGCTGTTGTTGTTTGCGAAAATTTTTCAAGGGCAACCGAGCAACGCAATTTGAAGCCGAAAGCCTAAAAGCTCTGCTACTTCCAATGCTGTTCGCCTGTGAGTTTGGACACGAAAAACCATTTGACTTCCTCATATGCGCAGAAAAGCGAAAGTGAGTAAGTGAGCCAGTGATCTCTTATTAGGGTTTCGGTGAAGAGTAAAGGTAGACAGATAGGTGCTAATACAATTTAAGGCGTGTCGATATTAATGAACCGAGTGCACGCATAAAACAGAAATTGCAGAGCAAATATAATTGTTAAGAAAAATTGTAACGACACGGATTCGTCGTTTTAAATTTGCTGAGGTATGACTCAGTCGTGGTCCGGGTCGTTGCAATAAATTTGTTTTATTGACCAGTTCGAAGCTGGTAAACCAAGGAAAGTTAAAAAGACCGTTTATTATTTTAAACAAAACTTTATTTATTAAAAGGATTTCTTTAATAATTTATTTTAATCTTGACTCTACTCGATAATTTATTTTAAGCTTGACTTTACTCAATAGTTTTTAAGCTTGACTCTACTCGATAATTTTTGCCCAAAGACGTCAGAACATCAAAGGGTTCTTCTCAAAGCTACGCAATTAGTTTTAGCCAAAGACGTCAAAACATCAATGGCGTTTATAAATCTACTCAATAATTTTTACCCAAAGACGTCAAAACATCAAAGGGTTTTTTTCATAGCTACGCAATTAGTTCTAGCCAAAGACGTCAAAACATCAATGGCGTTTATAAAATCTACTTCTACTGATTTATTAAGCCTTAGCGTCAAAACACCATGGGCTTCTCAAAAAAGAAAGACTTAGCGCTGGAGTAGAGTACTACTCGTTTCGGTGTGCCGGTGCTAAGTGATCTTTCATATAAAATCTCCGCTATTTATATACGACACTTTGCTTTGCTTAATTGCACGCACAACCGCACAAGTATAATTCGCTGTCAGCTTTGTTATGCTTGTCGTGTGTGCGTATGTTCGCGGTTGGCTTTGTTTTGCGTGTCGTTTGTGCGTATGTTCGCGGTTAGCTTTGTTTAGCGTGTCGTTTGTGCGTATGTTCGCGGTTGGCTTTGTTTATTTGTTTAAATATATAAATCGAGTTTTATCCAGATGATTTTTAGTAAAAAATAATAAGTTTTATGTAGGGCGGAATTTGTACAAAATTCCGTCCTTACATTTCCCTCCTTCTTCGGGGGATTTGAACTCGACTACTTCGTTGAATGGTTTCGTGTCCGCTTTCTAGGATTCCTAAAAACTTTGAGGAATTCATCTTGATGTGTACTGGTGTAATCCTGCTCACGTGGTACATCTGGACTTTGAGTTTTCGACTCTGTGTTGAGTTTTAAATTTCGCAGACGTGGTACATCTGGACTCTGACTTTTCGACTCTGGGATGAGTTTTAAACTTCGCTGACGCGGTACTTTTGGACTCTGACTTTTCGACTCTGTGTTGAGTTTTAAACTTCGCTGACGCGGTACTTTTGGACTCTGACTTTTCGACTCTGTGTTGAGTTTTAAACTTCGCTGACGCGGTACTTCTGGACTCTGACTTTTCGACTCTGTGTTGAGTTTTGAATTTCGCTGACGCGGTACATCTGGACTCTGACTTTTCGACTCTGTGATGAGTTTTAAACTTCGCTGACGCGGTACATCTGGACTCTGACCTTTCGACTCTGTGATGAGTTTTAAATTTCGTAGACGTGGTACATCTGGACTCTGACTTTTCGACTCTGTGATGAGTTTTGAACTTCGCTGACGTGGTACATCTGGTAGTCTGCCTTCATGTTTCGATACACCCGCTCCAATTGCGAACCTGGATCCATGCCAGTGTGTCGCATTAGATTTATAATGTCAAGTGAGTAATCCTTGAAACTTTCTTTTGTCTTTTGTAGTCGTGTTCGTACCTCATTTTCTAAGTTTTCGAAATATCTACATGATATGAAGAATTTTAAGAAATCTTCCTTGAAGCTTGACCAGAGGGGCCAAGGTTTATGGTTGTTGCGGTACCATCTTAATGCTTTATCTTCAAAGAGTATTGGCATCATCTTGGGAATTAGATTAACATCGATACTGTACATAGCCGCCAGTTCCTCTATGTGATCGATGAAACCTAGTGGATCCTTACCACCGTCATATTTACAGGACCACTTCTGTACCTCTTCAACCATCTGAAGGTAGGAGCGCACTGGAGGATTTATTGAACTTCCATATGTTCCTGGTATTCCTCTTGATCCCACCGACATTGTTCCTTGTTGTGATATTTGTTAATATTTTATCCTCTGGATCTTAAATTTCCATTCGAGCCTTGACCACTGTGATTTGACCAATCAGGTCCCTGGTAATTCTTTTCTTCCCACTTGGAATACTATCGAACACTAGTCCCTGCTCGGGCGCCAATTGTAACGACACGGATTCGTCGTTTTAAATTTGCTGAGGTATTACTCAGTCGCGGTCTGGGTCGTTGCAATAAATTTGTTTTATTGACCTGTTCGAAGCTGGTAAACCAAGGAAAGTTAAAGACCGTTTGTTTTTATTTTAAAATTTATTTATTAAAAGTTTTCTTAAATAATTTACTCTAGTCTTGATTCTACTCAATAATTAAGCTTGACTCTACTCAATAAGTTTTACCCAAAGACGTCAGAACATCAAAGGGTTTTTTTCAAATCTACGCAATTAGTTTCTAGCCAAAGACGTCAAAACATCAAAGGCGTTATAAAATCTATTCAATAAGTTTTATCCAAAGACGTCAGAACATCAAAGGGTTTTTTCCAAATCTACGCCATTAGTTTCTAGCCAAAGACGTCAAAACATCAAAGGCGTTATAAAATCTACTTAATACCTTTTACTGATTTATTTAGCCTTAACGTCGAAACACTATAGGCTTCTAAAAGGGACTTAGCGCTGGAGTAGTGGTCTACTCACTTCGGTGTGCCGGTGCTAAGTGATCTTTCATATAAAATCTCCGCTATTTATATACGACACTTTGCTTTGCTTAATTGCACGCACAACCGCACAAGTATAATTCGCTGTCAGCTTTGTTATGCTTGTCGTGTGTGCGTATGTTCGCGGTTGGCTTTGTTTTGCTTGTCGTGTGTGCGTGTGTTCGCGGTTGGCTTTGTTTTGCTTGTCGTGTGTGCGTGTGTTCGCGGTTGGCTTTGTTTTGCGTGTCGTTTGTGCGTATGTTCGCGGTTGGCTTTGTTTATTTGTTTAAATATATAATTCGAGTTTTATCTAGACGATTTTTAGTAAAAAATAATAAGTTTTATGTAGGGCGGAATTTGTACAAAATTCCGTCCTTACATGT